TGCAGTGCGTTTTTAAAGAAGCGCACGCACCGCCTGAACTGTGACCCCGCAAAGCGCATAAATTGGCTAATTTTCATGATAATGAGAAAATGCCTTAGATTGCAAACGTATATAAAAATCTGCCTTTAAATGAATGGCCTTTGACAAAAATTATTTCAAAATAAGAAACATTGAAAACCAACTCAGAATAATTTTTCAAAAGTTCTTCTTCTGTGAAAAATTTTATATTATACCAATATTTTGCCTGTATATTGCTCAGACCTCTCTACATAGGCTCAACTAGAATTTTTAAATATAACTTAGGAAGTAGGTATCTATCCATATTTTATTGGTAACAGAGGGGCGCAATTTTAAGAAAAGCGCCAATAATTAATTCAATTGTAATTCTAAAACTAATGTGAATTTTTCTCGTACCGAGCTGAGCCTCTGTATAGGAAATCCGCTTATATATGCTGGCGCAAAACATTATTGGCGAATAGAAGCTTTTGTTACAAAAGCGAGAACACCATTTTGAAAAAGATTATTCTGGCGAATGTTTCGCCAAAATGATGTATTTAAATAATTGTTTTGTCAAAATGTTCTTAAAACAATTTTATACATGTATTCTAATCTAAATGACCTGCACATCGCGAAAATTATCCATTTCGCGCTGCAAAACCACGGTTCCGAACGTAATGCATTACCTTAATCCTCTTTAGTTGCAGCCCCACCAGGTGGCGCTACAGAAGGCACCTCGCAACGTCTCTAATCAATCGTTATAAAGCAAACATATCAAAATGATGCCCACCCCAGCCCCATTGCCAAATTATTGTCACTTAAACTCCACAGAATGCAGAACCCACGTACGCTTCAAGTAACATTACAATTTTAACATAAAATAAATACATTATATAGAAAAATACTAATATATATACCATCCAGGATATAAATTATTTACACTATTTTCAGTGTTCATTACACAAAATTTGTAATAATGTGTTACTTTTGCTGATCAGAGATCAGCTTAAAAAAGCGTTTTCAAAAACTGACCCACAAGAGAGTTACGGGGTGTTATAAATAAAAGAAAAAATGCTTTTTATCAACTATTAGATCTACAGACTTTAAATTTAACACATATAGTTCAGCTGATATTAAGTTTTAATTTGCATTTCAAAATTAACGTACTGGCAAATTTCATCCTCGGTCTTTAATAGCTTCATATTCTTTTTCTAATTCACCGAGCGAAGTACGGGTATACCAGCTAGTCTAACATGAAAAATTCAAATACGAAATTTTACAAAATGAAAGGTAGACTTTGCTGCATCATTATTTACATTGCTTCAAATAATATTTGATGCCTAGTAATACTATCAGGGAAATATTACTATTCGCTAAACACACTTTCAAAAGCCACATTCAAATGTAAGAGAAGATTTTTAATAAAAATAGCCCAAGGAAATATAATTCCATTATCCTATTATCGTAATTAAGCAAATATTGGAAAAGTAACTTCTCAAGCTCTTCTGAAACACCCTTGTGAAATTTCTAAAGATTTGCAACTTCATTTCAGTTAAATCCCTAAAAATGTGTTATATTTTGTGCATTTTTTGGGTATTCCAGCTTGAATTGATAATTTGCTTACTTATTTCATGCATAAAAATAAAGTCTTTTAAGTAAATGATTGATAGAAAGCTTATACTGTTCTCTCTTCATTAATTTTATATATTTTTGGAGGCATAAAAATTAACATAATACATTTGCGATTTAAAAGATTATACTAGAAAATCCGTTCAATATATTAATAAATGGAAATTCATATACATCTTAGTGAATACTGCTGTTGAGTATTTATTTTCTGTGTAGCCAGCTTGCAAATAGCTTAAACAGTATACTGTCAAGGAGTGTTTCAATCACTCTTCAATTAAAATATAAGAATTTGCAAAATTTAGATGCATATTTTACGATAAATTTACATATAATTTATGTTGGCAACAAAAATAAGCCACCCAGTGTTGCCATAAATACCCCAACATTTCATGAAAGTTCCACCGGAATTCCTGACTCCCACTTTGAATAGCGATGATTGTTGAATATAGCTATCCCGAGATGACTATGTCTTTTCCGATCTGCGTGTTAGAGGTGTGGATTTATCAAAAATGATGAGATATTACTCTGTACAACCCTATTAAGAACAACTACTTCGAATTCAATTGTCGTCCTTCTGAAGAGAGCGTAAACGACCGGGAACAAATCTCGTATTCCAGCTTCATCTACGCAAATCGCATCTACTTCACCAATTTGAAAATGTAAATTTCAAAACCGATTCATTCAACTTCCCCTACAAAACATACTCTTTTGCAGATCTCCTTCCTTCAGTGATTGGAGTACATCGGTAGTTCTAACCCCTAACGCTGATATCCCAAACTTTTTATAGCAACTTACCTTTCCTGCAAAAGCCAGGACAACAACCTTTATCCACCATCCTTGCCACTTAAAGCTACCCCCAAACCCCGCCACTCCCCACTAATACACAAGTTTCTTATATCCCTTTAAAAGTATGTATCTCTATTTATACCTTGACCAAAGTTTATCTTCTTGGTATTGGTTGAAAAGTTTTGCTATTAATCGTGGCTGTCAAAGAATCTAGGAGTATGTTAGTATGACGTATATACGCCTACAAGCAAGTTTTTGCTAGAAATTCCCAACAAAATTAATTTCGCCTCAGAATCTAAATAAAACCCATACTTTCGGCATTGAATAAAATTTTATTATATATACTTATTCTTCAAATTACCAATTAGTTTGATGCTTGATTTACAATTTATTTTATATAGATTTGGAAATGTCATATCTTCATTAGCTTATTTTACTTATCTCTACCCGTTAAGTTCTTAAAACGCATGTAAATTATAAATTACGTATTATGCAGCCTTTTCACAGATCCTAACGATTATACCACAATTTATGTAATTAGAGATGCAGTGAAAATCAAGCTTAACATTTTAACTGAGGGGACTTGAAATATTTTTCCGAGTTAAAATAATTTTTGTCCTATGAATATTGTTAGCAAAACATATATTCAACAGTTATGTTCATTAGAGTAATATTTTATTTAAAGTAAATATAAGAGTATATATGTATATGTAAATTCGAAAAGGCTTTCAAATTGGCACCAAAAATATTTTACTAAAGAACTATTGTACCTAATAATAAAATTATCAAGAATCTTGAAAACAATTCATTCATATATAGAGTTTTGAAAATAACCCAATATTGTCTTTACATTTTTTATACTCAAAACATCCAATACTCGTTGTCCGTATTTAAGGTCTATCAACATGAATTATACCAGCACCTGTCACGCTTCTTTATGATTTCACCTTTTACTCAGTTCCACGGCCCACGCGATTAAAACCCTGCCCTAGTTTTGATTGTTATTTTTCTAAATTACCAAAGAAAACTTGAAAAGTCAGTCATGCCCAGGGTATACTTTCCTTCACCAAATTTCATCACTGAAAGAAGGATTGTTGAGCTTATATTTCTGGAAAATGGGTTTTTAAAAAAATATGACTTGGGCCCGACTTCAACAAAATAACTATTAACGTTGGTATCGAGCAAGGTGACTCTCCCGGAGCAGTAAAACCCTCACTGCCGCCATTCAGCGCAGCCCATCTGACAAGTTATATCGAAGATATTCTGTCTATGAATTCTGTCTCGAAAAATATTTTCCAGTTTGGCTCCCATTATATAGACGAAAAAGTAGGGATGTCTTGCTTAATCAATCATAGAACTTTGGAGTATTTTCAACCAACACTTCCAAAATGTTTTCTGTATTTATTATTGGCATAAGCCTGCCCCCTCCCTCCCTCAAAGAGGTTCTTAAAGAAAAGAAATGCCAGTGAAAAGAAAGCTATATTCGGAAAATAGTAAGAGAAAATTACAGAAAGAATTCACCGTTTTCAAAGTACGATATATTTTTCAGAATGAAAAACAAAAATAACGTTAACCTAAATGTCGAAAGTAGTAGGTACAAAAATTATAAAAGCAAGAGTTAAAATAAAAAAAAAAATGCTTGAAGACAACATATCAGCAGGATTTTAAGAGAAGAATAGTAAGAAAAAGTTTATAAAAGAAGAAAAACGAAAGATAAAAAAGATCACAGTAGAATTTTTTTTTCTCGATAATTCCAGAAAATCCATGAGTTGTTTGCTTAAGTTTGTACCATCACGAGAGCAGTAGGTAATCATCCTAAGTGTTCAACTTTCAAGTCAACACCTTTTCAAGTTATTTCAAATCTATCTCAGAGGTAAAAAAAATGGTTTTAAAGTTCGAAATAATTCGCAAGGAAATATAAAAAATATACTGCATTCGGGGTACTGTATTGATCAGAAAATACTACTGCATTTTTAAAAGTTATAAAATTTTTATTTGCTTATCATCTGTCTTATTCGTTCTCATTCGATACATACGAACAATGCGCTTGCACACACCTACGCACATCCACTCCATCAATCATCCCGCACCCTCCCTAATACATACTCAAATGATCATTGTGCTTACGATATATATTTGCTTTTAAAGCATAAAAAGTGTAAACAGGTATTTTCCAAGCAATATTTGAAGAATTTTTCAAAATGTATTATTGAAGTTATACTTCTTTTTGGGCGTTAGGGAAAAAGGAAGAGGGTAAACTTTTACGATGCGCGCGCACACCGTCACGGATGTGAAAATGCTTTGTCAAGAAATATGCAGAACGAAACAGATCATTCCCACCTTCGAAATTCTCAGGAAAATGATTCTCTTCCCTTCCCTGAAGAAGGAGGCACCCCAGTTTGAACCGGGGACCACTCTATCTGCAGTCAAATGCTCTACCACTGAGCTATACCCCCGCATCAGCGACCTTTGCTTTGCTTTCTGTAGGAACGGATACGAAAATGCTTTGTCTAGAAATATACAGAACGGGACAGATCATTCCCGCCTTCGAAGTCTCAAAAAAATATTTCTCTTCATTTCCCTGAAGAAGGGGGCACCCCAGTTTGAATCGAGGACCTCTCGATCAGCAGTCGAATGCTCAACCACTGAGCTATAACTCTCCCCGTGTCAGCGAACCTTCGCTTTGCGCTGATTTGTGACGCCACTATTAGTAGAGGGAGATCGTCCTTCACCTACGGAGCTTCTCTGATACATTTTTTTAAACACTTTTTGTTATTAAACCAAATATACTTACAGGAAATTTTAAAAAATAGTAAATTAATCTTTAAATTGTGTTTCATATACATAAAATATAAGAGTAAATATTAGTTAACCTTTTTAAATAATAATTGCAAGTATATGATTATAGATGTATTTACTATGAAGGCATTGCGTTGGACATAAGCACATTTATTACATTGTAGCAAATTAAAAGAGCTTTTTGTATTCGTATATTTATTTTTGAAGTTATATATTTTTTTCAGCGTTAGGGAAAAAGGATGAGGGTTAATTTTACAATGCGTGCATCCCTTCATGACACCGATGCGCACGCACTTTTTGGTGCTATGGGACTGATATTTGGGGGAATCATAACTATTATTATAAACCATACTGTTGGGACGCATCCCTCCTGTGCATTCCCCTCTCTACAGCTCTTTGGCCAATATCTTGGCACCCGAGCCTCACAGTCCATTCGCGGACCTGGCTTATTCGATCCCTCTCTATCTGTTCTTCCATTTAGTATAATTTCATGCTCATAGGGCTATTTCTTCTATAGTTTTTAATTGTGTCTTAAATTTGTTTAAATTCACAATATCTTGGCTCTTGTTCAAGTCTCGGACTTGAAATTTGAACCAACTGTTTCACTAGTCGAGACCCATCCAGTCATCTACTTCATTCCCATAGTGTAGGCATGGGGAGGGCTTAAGCAGTAAAATATCATGCTCTCATGTTAATCCTAAGGGAACTGGAAAAATTTTACACCCCACCTAAGGAATTGAGCTTGGAACTTGATTTTTGGAGGCCTGCCATATTTTTGTATTAGCGTGAGACTTACGTGGAATTGGCCCCCATGCCCCTACAGGCCTTTCCCAGAAATAACTCGAATCCTATGCCACCGTGGTCAACCGCACCTACTGTATTCGATTGTTCATCCTAGATATATTTTTTTACAACCATAGCCCCATTTCTTCACCCATATTTAACATTTTAAAATTATTTTAAGTTATAATGTTTTTAAAATACCACATAGCTCCGAGGGTTTTTGTGATTCATTAATGAAACTCGGACCCTAGATTTTTCTCGTTGAGCTGTTTCATCTGTTATAATTCGTGTGTAGATAGTGGGCATAGGAGGGGCGTTATCCTAAAATTAGAAAAATTAGAATCCCCATGTTATTTCTATGGGGTTCGATCTTTTGATGACGTAGTGATATTACAGGAATAGAAAGATGAAACTTTGGGATCACCTACTACTCTGTGAATCGTTGGGCCACAGTTGTTCCCCACCCGGGGAGAGTTAGTTTTGTTTTCCTTTCCGGAACTAGCACCACCCCATTTGCAACTGGACTTCGTACTGGTTCTAATGAAATAACTTTTGAGTTTTCTCACAACCAGGCCTAGTTTTGAGTTGCTGGGTGCCCTGCTTCTATTTTATTTAATTGTTTTAAATGTTTTAATTATTTTAAAATGATCATACTTCAGGGGTTCTTCAGGCGGAATTCTTAATTTTCTCAGGAATGATTCTTTCCGCCGAGACATTAGTATGGGGGTCTCAAGTGTAAATTCGGTTCACTTGATCCCCAGATACGTCTGCCGACCCCCATGTTATTGTTTTTTGTCCCTGTGCTGGGTGTTTAAACTTATTTAAATCATGATTATCTCGGGTTTGGCTGGTTCGATTGATGAAGGTTAGCATCGTTCAACTCTGCTCGTGACCACCTTTCGTTGTTGGGCCAGCTTGCCCTGCTCAAGATCTTTAGAAATATTTTAATCTTGTTACGCCAAAGAAGTACATAAGTACACACACACTTTCTTTTGTATGATATCTTAAGAAGCAAAGTTTTGATTAAGTTGTAAATAATATCAATGGAATGTTTTTCATCTGATAAACCTATATTATATTTCGAGATAAAAATTTAAAAAAGGTTTCAATTAAATGTTTCATTTCTTCAATGATATAATAAAAATCATTGAAAATGCAACGTCAAGAAAGAGATGTTAGTAAATTATGCATATCCAGGGCAATTGCATTTTTCGGTATTAATGCAAATGATGCAAGATAAACAGCTTTCCATAGCACACTTTGAGTAAAACTTAAGGGAAGAAATCTTTAGAATGAGCCATATATCCATACCATTCTGTTGCCCAAAATATCATTGTGTAATTTTTCCCCATGTATCACTCTTGCTTTCCCTGTGAAATGCAATGTCACCTCTAACAGAGGTGGTTCCTTCAGACAGACAGTTCCTTCATTTTACGAGAAGCATAGTGATCTTATTTAACACCTACTTAGAGCAGGCACAGTGACCGGGTGTGGCCAGAATTGTTAGAACAAAGAAAAATGGCAAGTTTAAGGAGTGCCAGAGAGTAACCAGAATGAAGAATCCACTGACGCCAAAGCTACTTTTGCCTCCATTTTGCAGCATGTACATAACACCCTTGTTGAGCCAATATTAAACAGTATCCTTACTCGGTATCCTTACAGTATCCTATTTTTTCGTCAACAAAGAAAACTATCAACCTCTGACACCATAAATACGATTATATTTGCAGAAGATCCAGACTAAAGCGGCGTGGACAAAGAATGGCAAGGGTCGTATATTCGTTTACCTGAAATGCTTTCATATTATAATCATAGTGTATGTTGTTTTAAATTTTTTGTTGTTGTGCATTTGTGAACACAACTATGTTGCGTTGTTATTGCTAATGAAGTCAAAGACGATTTCGGCAGGAAAACTGTGTTTTGTATTCACTGTATTATGATAGCCCGACGCGATACATGGTTGATGAGTGGCGCTCAAAATACTCTAAAATACTCTCTCTTTGTCAAGGGTGGCTAGGCCTTTAGAAGCAGAATAAAGCTCAGCTACCCACTAAGTGCTCTGTGCTAGACGTACAATTAGTTCCTTGGTCAAAATTTATGCCTAATCTTTTTACAAATGAACATCTCTGGGACATGATTTGGCACCAGTCATATGCTTTGCAGACACCGCGTTTAAAGAACGAACACGGTAAATGATTGAAATGGATTGAAAAGTCATCCATCAGGAAGCCATCCGCACTCTCATTGATTCTGTACATAGAAGTGATGCTTTATGTATCGATAATCTTAGTCATCTAGCAGCCTATTCAGCTGACGTTGATCTAGATACGCGTTACGTGTATAATTTTAAAAAAAACATGAAGTATTTTTTTTTGGTCTCTCTTTTTTCCGAGTTTCTTGATTTCCTTACCACTTATTTTTGGGGTTACGTTTTCAATATCATAATATATATACATAAATACCTTCCAGAATTCGTTCGTTTATTTACATTTCTTAACAAATTTCCTGCAATTTTTATATACCTAACAACTCATAGATACAATTGCTATATTTCAATCGGAAGACATTAATTCAAATAATATTATTCAATTAAAACTGTAAGATCATTTTATGGTTCGTTTTAAATTATCGAGAGAGAGAGAGTCCCTTTAAAGAGAAAATATAATACACAGAGAGAGAGAGAGAGTAAGAACATTTAACATTACTTAATCAAATAAAATTAAAAAAGCAAACTTAAAATTAATGTAAGCCTATTGAATCCATGGGTGGTACTTACAGAAAACGATGTCATGGGTATTGCTCATGTTTCCTGAAAATATATTTATTCTGAAGAAACCTATTTCCCACACCCACAAGAGTAACAATATTTACTTTCGTCAAATATGGTTAAAAAGTATTTACACTTTACCAGATTACATGCGTCTAAATTGTGCTTTTTATATATATAACATGATGGAATATTAAATCATCTCCCACACACACACAATATATATTCTGTTGTAGAGTGATGTAATTTAAAATGTGAGACTGGTAACGTCTGTTTATGGTCATTTGATCACAAATTCAAAATTTTTACTTGTTATAGTTTTGATTCACTCCAGTGTATTCACTATCAGTTGAAATTCTTATGAAGTTGCTGTAGTTTCGGATGATATATTATTATTACTGTAATAAAAAATAATCTTCGTAGCAAATAAGTAAGAAAAAAGCCTAACATTAAATTCGTAAAGAAGTCAAGAAAAATGAAATAAATTTTTACAATAGGGAAATAACAGAACATTCTAATTTTTTACAAGTAGACATTTTAAATTCTTTCTCATCGTTACATTTTTTAAAGTAATTTTTGATAGTTCCAATGAATAAAAATGAGGATTTTTAATATAACACTGAAATTTATATGGGGTGCATAAAATTTTTTTGGTATTTTTATACATTATAAAAAACCCTTTTCTGTTTTAATTTTTTTAAAAAAAAGGGGAAAAAAAATATTTTTAAATTTTTAAATACTTTTAACTCTAACGTTTTTTCCATACAAAAATTTTGGTATAACTAAAAAAATTATCGTTTTCTTCAATTTTCCTCAAGTTTTCAAACCCGTTAAATAATTAGTCGATGACATTTCAAAAAAATTTTGAATTTTGGTGGAAAAAATTTTCCCCTTTCCTTTTTTAAAAAAAAAAAAAAAACTATTGATTTAAAACAAATTATTAAGAGTGAATTATTTGCACAAAACAATTAAATAGGCCCTTCAAAGGAAAAAAAAGCCCAGTCCTTCATTTACTATAAAATAATGCGTCTATTTTTCTGAGTATCGTTCATTATTGGTAGTAAAGGATTACTCTAAATAATTAATTTTATCAACATAAATCAAAAGTTTATCTTAGAATTATTTAAGATTATTAAGAAAAGAATACGATTTTTAAAAATTTAATTTTAAAATATTGCGCTATTATTCTCTGAAACATAAGAATATTTTTATAACTAAAATTATTCTAAGACTGGAAATTTTTTTTAAACATGTGAGGAGAACATTAGACTTAATTTATTATTTTTTCCTTGAGTGTGTAATTGAAATCTGCTT